CACCGGAGAGTAATCTACGAGAGTCATATCTTGTTCGGGAAATTCCTACAAAATGAAATTTTAAGGTTTATATAATCTTTATGATTGACCTAGTTTATTTACTTCTACTTGGAATAAATTCTTAGTTCTAAAAGTAATTAAAATGTATTAATTAGATATACTAATTACGTCTTCAAGATAAGTTTTATTCTTGAGAAATATTGAAAGTATTTCAATTCGCTTGATTAGTTTCTTGAATTCCACCATATTTTTAATTACCTAATAAAGGTAAAAGATGGTTGTAGTCTTATTGGTTCAACTGTTTACAATAATTTACAAATAATATTTGAAGATTACTTCTTATCTCCAGCATTTTATGTATTACATTACAGGGTTTTATGTAACAAAAACTCAAACATTTGTGGAATGAAATTGTCGCAACTTTGAATAATTGTCAGTGTTATCACGCGCCTGAATTTCACAACAAACAATCTTTTCTTCAATTTGAATGTAACAGATACAACTCCGTCTTGAACCCAGTTTACTGAGTTGGTGGCGAAATAAATTCAAAGTTTTGTTACTTTCTAGCAAATCCTTAAAGAATAGCTCGAATTGAATTGTGAAAATATCTAGATTTGAATTTTATTCGCAGTGCGTCCGTATCGGAGAGCGATAAAAATTTACACTGTTGAAATGTGTACTCAATGTAATTTATAGTCAGGACTTTGTTGCTTTATTTGTGAGCCATTTCGTTTATTAAAAACGTTTGTTACAAAACAAAGCGTTCGGATAATTTGTTTGAGCGGAAAAAACCTAATGAGATTTCGTTGCTATCAATCTTTATTGGTTAAAAAATCGTATCTTTTATATAAAAAAGCACGTCGTTCTAAAGATCAATACTTAAAGATGCCGTTTAGGGATCGAATTCAGTCTGTATTGAAAGATGAGACGATTAGCACTCCCCTTGACAAGGATGGAACACATAAATTGGTTAATGCACATCTTGACCACATTTTTAGTCTCAGTGCGTTCCTTTGGAGATCCCGGAACTCTCATCAGTTGGACTTGAGGATCGTCACCAAGGTTTTAGTGAATCAAGTCTCACTTAACCCTGTCCCTCCCCACAAAGGCAGGGCAGCTTTTGAAGACTTCCCCCGGGAACAAAAAAAAGGGCACAAGTTCAATTACATATCGCGAACAATCGTACGACATATCGTATGTGAATAATTTCGCTACGTATTATAGAAACAATTTTCAAAGTATAAATAGGTGTAGAGACGTAATATTATGATTCATTATTTAACCTACGTAAAAGCAGTGCAGGTGTATCCGAGGCGGGCGCGGCTGGCGGCACATTATGATAAGTAAACGGTACTCGTGAGTTATGTCTCCGCAACTCGACCAATTAAGCTCCCTACACACTGCACTGCTATAGATATTCCAAAGCTATATTTATGCCTCTTATCTAATATTTATACAATAACTCGCAATTGTGTTTACTAAGATACAATTCCTTTTTATCTCCATTTAAATGCGTTCTTTCATCCTTTATTATGTATATCATTTATTACACACACTAAACAATGCTATCGCTTATCGTTCTGTGTACAATATACAAGTCTGTTTCGTATAATTTGTTTTTCCTTCGTGATATATAGGCCCTGTACCTCCTGGGGGGAGTTATTACCGGCGAGAATAATAGAAGCGTTTCGTATCTAATGAACCGACGGCTGCCTTCTGCGCCGATTCTGGATTAATCAAGGGAAACCCGCACTACAATACAAACAAATCAATACGAGTATTGATAGCTCATTATTAACATTCTCAAGGTGGTATTGTATTACATTTTAATATTATGAATAACGTTATTGAAATATTTCTTAACTAGCCGTCGCCCACGACTCCGTCCGCGAGATATAAAAATAACGTTATTGGTGGCTTATGTTCTTCGAAACCATGTTCTACATCTTTGCCAAATTTCAGCGAGATCCATTAACCGTTCTCAAATTACCTTCAAATAAACATCCATCCAAACATTCGCATTTATATTAGTAAGATAGTCAGAAGTAAGATTAGTAATATTCATTTTATACTTTTCTTTGAATTCATGAAGGAATCGCGATTTTTTTTTTAATATTATAAAATTCGAGATACAATAAACATTAAACTTGCTTATGTATACTAAAATTAGAACCATAAAATGTCGTATAAATAGCAAGAACATAAACACATTTATAAGTATAACTGTCCTAGCTTGAATTTATTGTTCAGACGGATCGATGGCATTACCCTAAAAATCGAAGACTTGGAATTCAACAGACACGCCTCAGCCGTCGTACACGCTACGCGGCAAACGCAAAGGCGGGGCCTTATAAATCAATGTTAGTAACGTATTCAGTATCGTCTAACTGTTTCATAGCACGATACTGATATTTTTCCAAGCATTCCTCCATCAAAACAAATGATCCTTACTTTGTTACCTAACTAAAGGGTTTTATTGTTTCCTATCACGATATTGTACAGGTTCGAGAAATAAGGTTAATGGAATATTAAGTCTGTTTAATTTTATGTCTGATCTCATCAATTTTATATTTATACCAAGAATATAACACTTTAAGTTACGTTCGAATAGAAAGTAACCAATTAAATTGTTAACATATTAAATAATGTGATAAAGTCTAGTGTATAGTTTTTTTTTCTTTGATCCAAATAAAAAAAAATCATGAAAATATTTAGTATTTTACTATAATTATAACGTTAGGCATTGAAAATAAATTCATTTCAAAAACGCGGCCATACGGTTTGAAAAATAAAGATTCCGTTTTCGCTCCATTTGCAAAGCGAAGTAACAAAAAGGGTGAGGCCAAAATAATAGCCATAATGCAGAGAAGGAGAAATGTAATATAATGAGGTTTTATTTTCTTTTGATCTTCACAAAGGCTTTTTGTTTGATAAAGTTTTTCGCTGAATGAACTCTTCAAACACTGACACGTATTATTAAAGGGTTCCATTCTGCTTCAAACGTCGATATAAAATTATTCTTGTTTCCTTTTTTTCATAGAAATGTATGAATATATTTTAGTTATTTCATCATCAGCTCACTATATGTACCATATACAATCACGCTAGCCCAGTGCGGGTTGGTTGACTTCACACATATCTTTGAATTTCTTCGCAGATATTTGTAGGTTGCATCACGCTGTTTTCCTTCTCCGTAAGAACATCGGATAACTGTAGGTATGTAAATCGAAAAACACATTGGTACTTGGCGTGATTCGAACCCAGGACCTGCAGATTGCAAGCCAAGTGGTTTAACCCCTGAGTCATCGACGCTCTCTTTCTCTCTCTCCCTAGCTTGCATCCCACAAGGTGGTGGGGTCAGCTTCCCCAATCCGTCTCTTCCACTTCGCTCTGTTTAGTTAATTATTAAGAACATGTTTAAATATTTTTTCTAATCCTTCTCGATATAATATAGAAATTGATCATTTAAAAGATAATGTATCAATCTCCTTATTATAATTTATGAATGTTATGTTTTGAAAGTTGCATTTTTTAATGTTGTCTACAAACAAATACTGTCCGTCTATAAATCAACAACAAACTATTGTATTGATTCAATGAGTAGTGTTTTGTATACTCAAACTTCCAAACGAAATTTCATTGTAAGTCAAACAGAGACGCTACTTTATTGTTCTTATTATTGGTACATAATTGTATAAATGTGTTTACAAATCTATATATATAAAAGAAAGTCGTGTTAGTTACACTATTTATAACTCAAGAACGGCTTTACCGATATGATTGAAAATTGGTGAGGAGATATCTTAGAGCCAAGAGACGGACATAGGATATTATTTACTCATTTTTTTTTTCGAATGTATGTCTTCAAGAGCTGCTTTTTATTTAACTTAGTAATATTATAAATGCGAATGTTTAGATGGATGTGATGTGGATGGATGGATGGGTGTTTTTTATATCATAAAGTGGCAAACGAGCGAGCGGCCACCTGAAATCGATGTATAGCGAAGTGACCGATGCCCATAGACATACGCAATTGCATACGCGTTGCCTACCTTTAATCGACGGAGGAGAGGATGCACAGAATGAAAATATTTTCCCCTTCCATCTATCCGGAAAGTCTACTTCCAAATCCCATCCTTTCCTATGTGTGTTTGAAGATATCTCTAGAACGTCTGAACGGATCTCGATTAAATTTGGCATACGTCTAGAACATAGTCTGAAAGAACACATAGGCTACACTAATTAAGTTTTTTTATATATCCACGCGGACGGAGTCGCGGGCGACAGCTAGTAGGTTATATAGTGCTAGATTTCAAACACTAACCTTTTCAATCCCATCTCCGTTGACGAATTAAAAAATATCATTCAATGTACATTTTGAGAAAAATAAACGTACGACAAATCATTAGTGTTAATTCTAGAAAATACTAACTCTATGAAATACTTGTGAACTTTTTAAAAACAAATGAGTTATGTTAGACATACTAAAAAGTTATAATCAACAAAGCCACTTCATGCTGCTATGCATGTTGAACTTTTAATTGAACTTGTTGGCTAATTCAAAACATAACACCTGTGTATACTCTCGAAAATGTGCAGAATGCACTAAAAATATTAGACGTGTCTTCGGATAAACTACTGATTTTTTTTTTAATTATTCCAAAAATTATGTTTGCATTTAACCTTACAAAGTTATATAGAGCTTCGTAAAAATATTTATTGCACAAGGAATAAAATAATACGTTGTTTCAATAAAGAATGTTTTATTTCTTTTTAAAATCTATGATACTTGGCTATTTTAAATTAATGCGTACTTATTGATGCCAAGAGATTTTATTAATCTAATTCAATAAAATTCCGGTGTAATTTGTATAAGAAATCATTCAGGAGAGATTAACACGTACTCAATTCAAGCATTGGTAGGCTTCAATTGACATCAAGTGTACCTTTGATCACTGGCCACATTAGGACATTAAAAAAAATAAAAAAATCTGTTTCAGGATCAGATGCGGAACCAGTATGGAAGCTGCAAGACTCTCAGTTCGACCAGGGCTACGGGTCGGAGCGGTCGCCAGAAGAGGAATACGTGGCGCCTCTGCCCCTCGCTCCCCTCGCCGCCGCAGCCTCCCTGGAGGAGTATGAGGCGGAACTACGCAACCTCTACCCATTTATCACCGAGGGTAAGCCTCGTAAATTCTTTCCTATAAAGCTATTCCCCTCAGAATGTTATAGCACTACTATTATTGTTTATTTTATACTAACTTTTGTTCTCTATGTCAAAGCTATACTTAGAAATAGGGCATAGGTTTTAGGTTATATAAGAAATTTTAATATGAAAGAAAATGTTGAATAATCAATTTAATTCAAAAATCATTTTGTGGTTAATAATTAAAACTAGAAAGAAAAGGTTTATTATAACCAATTAAGGAAACGTTTGATTTCAATTAACCGGATTTGAGTTCGTATAACATTTCTAATCTTTTTTCTGTCAACACAAAATTCTAGCCTGTGACGTCATTCGTAAATACAACCTTGTTGAAGGTTGATGCGGACATCGGTTGACATTTTAACAAAGTGTTAAATAAACAAAGTTAATTCACACTTCATGTGGAATTGATGTGCAAAATACGTTAGCGAATATTTTTGAATGAACGAATTGGCTATTTTTAAACATAAATAATTGTAAATATGAAGATTCGAAAAATTTGTTCCTCAATAGAAACTAATAAAATTTTGAGCTTTGGACTTGATACTTATATTAAATACTATTAATTGCCTGCGACTCCGTCCGCTCGGAATTAAAAAAATACATACTCAGTAGCCTACGTGTTCTTACAGACTATGTACATATGTATGCCAAAACCCCTTCACTCGTTCTAGACAAAACCTTTAAACAAACATCCATACATAAACATTCGCATTTATAATATTAGTAAGATGACATCCGGCAACAGTGTAGCTTTTCAACAGTGGAAGAACTTCAAAATCGGTTCAGTACTTTCGGTGCCTATTCAATGCAAGCAAACAATCCAATCTTTCCTCTTCATAATATTACGAGTAGTTTAGATTAAGTACCAATATTTGGTCAATATTCGAGTACCGAATGACGTACGCAAAAACGTCACTCCGTACGTATCCGGGTAATTGAACTCACACACACACACGCAGACAAAAGGAGGTTCCGTTACATAGTGTTACAGTATACATATACAGGGTGTTTCAGTGTCTTTATCTTTATTGACACTATCTTGTTGACTAAGCTTAGCTCGCTTCTCTTACCAGCTTTTATAGTCGTCGCTGAAAACAATGTATGCATTACCAGGTGTCACACGGCAAACAATGGTTGCATTTTCTTATAAGACAAATGGTAACAAAAGACTTACGATACATATACCTACATTTTAAGACTTATATGACTTGAAATATAACATCGCAATCTAATGAAACCACGTGATTAAAGCGCCATCTCTAGGAGTGAAACAAAGTGATTTCGTTTCTAAGCGATTCCATGACGTACTTTAATAACTGAGAATAACTTTTGATAAATCAAGTGAATGTCGCGCGTCCGTTCCATAACTTTTTTAAATTCGTTATGGAATAGCTTTGGAGCGAATGCACTTTTTCTAGCCCCCTGTACTATCAAATAATATTTTAGGAATTTCTGTAATAATTACATTTTGACCATGGTTTAATGGTTGGTACCAATATAGCTTATAGTTAGTAGGATTATCGTTAGCCTCTCAACCAAAGCTGTTATGTACGAATAATATTGAAGCAAATTAACCGTAATAACACCCGCCTATGTAGAGGTGCGAAGAGCTTAATGTCAATACATTCATCCGTAACTAGTAAACAACGCGGCGGAGATCCCTCGGGAAATGGGGAGTGATTAATTTACTACGACGCTCTAGGTGTTTGAATAGAATACTCAATATTAACTATTGTTTATTAACTTTATTAATTTTACACCTTATTAAGGGTACAAATTAGCATTTTGGTAATTAATTAACATTTATCCGACGTTCTTACGGGGAAGTCAACCAACCCGCACTGGGACATCATAGTTGACTATGGCCTAATAAACCTTTACTTAGGGTGGGCTTCGAGCCCCTCAGTGGGGACATATAGTGAGCTGGTGATGAAATTAAATAACTATGGACCTATAAGTATTTGGAACCATAGATTTATTATCTTTGTAGAGTTACTTAATATGAAATGGCTACCGTGATTCGATGATAAAAATAACATTAACGGTCTAACATATAGAACTTAAAGATTTTGTGCAACTGTCATTTTCAAATGACTACAAAGAATGAACATTCTTGAACAGGTATATTGTTTGTAATAAGTAGCTATTTTATAACCAACGGATTTTACTTTTTATTTTGTATTACGCACATTATTTCTCTTACGTGTTCTCATTGTTGCGACAGTTGCGATCTCGTCGTTCTAACAAATCTACATGGCATGACGTCATTCGTTTGCAGAATCCGACAGCGACATGATGACATGCGCGACGTGTACCCGAAGCGAATTTCCAATGAATAAACAAATGCTATTCTGTAGCCGTTTCGCAAAATATAACTAAACAAAGAAATTGGTATCGTGGAATTGGATACATTCCGTAAATGTACACAAAAATTTTGCTCACAGATCTAAAGTCCGCTTCCCCTTTTCAATTTATCCAGATAAGACTCGGAAGGAGTTTACGTTTGTTGACTTTCCGCAAATTTGGGAGTTTTATATTTTCTTATCTTCGCTAACCGAAACGGCCATCTTGGGTTCTGGTGTACAAAATAATATTTAATGCGTGGTTTTTAAATTGAAATAAGGATTTTTAAAAATTCAAAATACTGAACGAACTTGTGCTCTTCAATCCTAAGAGCTAAAATATAGGCAACTTGACATTCAACGTATTTTGCGTTGGACAATGACAAGAATTTAGATTTTTAGCGACTCGGTGATTTATTAATTATGAACTATGTCCGTCACAAGTTATGAAATAAAAACAATTATTATTACACAATGACGTGATAATATGTCAAAAATATTTTATCTTCACCTTTCGTCGAACTATTTATTTGCCTCGTCTCAAGACTCTCTCGTGCCTTGGGGAGTGTTGATATTTTCCGGGATAAGAAACAACATATCCATTTTACCCGGTACTCCAGTGTAGTTGTGGCCAAATATGTTTTATTTTATTTGACACAAAGACCCTTCACATAATTCAATACTGGTTGATATTTGTCATAAATTGATATGGTTTAAAATATAATATTTATACACAAAATATTCCATTAAGCGTATAATTTATTGTTTCAAAAAGGGGAGTTACATACAATCATAAACATTTAGAAAATATTGATGTGGTTGAATTTAATTTGTACACTGTTATACGATAGTAATAAATTAAATTTTAATGTTTCCATGTTTACTAAAATATTATTTGACATTTATAATCAATGCATTCATTCTTTTACTAGGCAACTACTATTTCCGGAGGAAAGATAGAATTATTCTTATACAAAGCTATTTGTGTAGTATTGGCGGGAAACTTTATCATAATATTCGTAAGACACAGGCTGCTTCATAAATTCTTGTTGAAATAATTCACCATACAGCTACTCTACGTATATTATGTAAAATAGTACTGAAATGCATATTCTCTTCAATGGAGACATACAAGTACACTTCGTTATGCTTATTCCGTTTTATAACCCTAAAGGTTGATTTTTATAGAAGACGGAAACAAAGAAGCACACAGCCACCAGGATTCGCCAGAATAGCGAAGTGAACGCTGTCCAGAGACATCATAATTTTTTAGACAATCTTAGTAATATTCTTTGAAAAGTGGTATTTCAACGTTCAAGCCGGCGCAATAGTTAATATATGCTATTAAGGCCTCTACCTCTGTTCGAATTGCTATAGATATAGGGTGTTTTATTTTAATTTTAAAAAGAAACAGATTACTATTGCTACTCTTGTCCGCTGCAAATGTGATAAAAAGAACAGAGGTTGTAAAACAACGAAGGGATATTAAAAGTTACGTAACAAATAAAATGGAACAGAGTTAAAATTGCAGATGAACATTGTAAAGTAACGTTTTTGCAGGAAGTTAAGTGGCGTATACCGTTGAATAAATTATTCATAATGTAAGCAATAAAACGCTCCCTAACGTAACGCTTAACCTTTTTAAAATTCTCTTTTACAGCGCGGTGTTTGTATTTACGTGAAAATATCGCTGGAAACTCCGTTAGTGCCCACCGATTTCACGGGCACTAACTCTCTCGTTGTTTTACTGAACGTGCTTCTTACTCTGTTTGGAATTAATTCAATTAATTTATTTTATTAACTTTAGCTATGCAGCAGTACCACAATGAACTTATGTTTCTTGTGGTATAATAAATATTGCATGATAATATTTTATTAACCCTTTAGACGCTATTCAATTGCGACACTAAAAATTTGGTAACTAAACTTCTTGCGATCTCATGACTCTTGTCACAGTTTCCTCACGAACTGGATATTAAAGCAAGACAAAATGTTCACACGATGTTTAATTTATAGCCGCTACTGTTTGGTATTGTGAGAGCGTATTACAAATTTGTATGTTTTTTGCTAATCTGACAAGGGTTAGACTAGGAATAGGATATGTTTTATAGTATTTTTATCGAAGATTTTAATAAGAAGAGCTGTTATAAACTTATTTTCAAATAAATTAACTACCTTTGCTTACAATTATTAATAACCAACCGTAAGTTTCTGAGACTGAAATGTCCGTTGAAAACATATTGTTTTCTCTGTCTTGTCAAACACGATATGTTTTGTACAAAGATTTTTGTCTCAGAAACCCATGGTAATCATCTAACTTAGATATTAGTATCGTTTAAACTACGTGAACTATTTAAACGCTACTACGATTATCTACAATTAAAATGATTAAATTATAAAATCATTTTAATGAACAATTTCACAAAATATTAAATTGATAAATGATATTTCAGACAGCTCTTTTATCGAAATTGAATTACTGTATTCAATAACAACTGTGAATTGTGAAATAAACTCGATAGAATCATGAAAACTGTTGAAGTGAAATTGTATTTTCCAGTGAATCAGCTCAACTTTGTATCGTGCGCTAATTATTAATTAATAATTCAAGTATTGCATCACTAATGCA